AGCAGCTGAGGAACACGGCGGCTGCAGTCAGGGCTGAGGAAGTGAACCCTGGACGGACTTTATCAGTAAGGACGCTCGGCCCTGGGTGTTTCCTCCGACATGACAGCAGTTGGATTTTACAGCCAGAAGAACTGAGCAGTTGGTTGGAGCAGGATTTGAGGGAATCATGATCCACTGCAGACCGACTTCCTGTCGGCGAGGACTTTGATTTCACTTCCACCACAACGAGACAACGACACACGGCTGCGATGCCGAACTCTCAGGAGCAGAGCTTGGACGAGGGAGTGGTGTTCCTGGAGGTCAGCGAGGCCTCCCCAGAGTTCCTCTACTGTGAGACGCAGCGTCAGGCGCTGGAGAGACTCCTGAACGCCGGACCGGAGGCCTTCTACGGCTCCATCGGCACCGAGCGCTCCGGCTGTTTCCTGTCGCCAGAGGAAGTCCGACAGATAACCGGCTGGACTCAGGACTATCGCTTCAGCCAGCTGCAGCGGGAAGACACGGAGGTGGACGGCGCCGACGCGGCTGACTTATGTTCCACCTACTTCCCCGGCCCGTCAGACGCCCCGGCCCCCGTCCTGGACCTGGGCTGGCCCGAGAAGGCCCCGTGGACGACGGGAGGCGGCGCCAGCGTTCACACCAACCCCCCCGCAGAAGGAGAACCTCACATCAGAGAGATCATCCGCCGGCACCTGCAGACGGCCTCACAGGTACGTGGGCTCGGAGACAGCGCTGTGTTTTAGCTCAAACAACCTGTGGCTCCGAGCTTCTCCTCAGAGTTAACACATGGAACGAGTACTTTTCAAAATAAAAGACTTTTTTAGGGAACGTCAACACTTTCAGGTGGGCGTAATATATATGTGTGTGTGTGTGTGTGTGTGTGTTTATATGCATATATATAAAGATATATATATTGTATCCGGGGTCTCAGATGTCATGTGTACATATGTATATGTGTGTGTGTGTGTGTGTGTGTGTGTGTGTGTGTGTGTAGTACCCATGTGACTTCTACCTTATTTACCTTATTACCATATTTACAAGTTGGTAAATATTTGTCACAATATTTGACATCAACAGTGATGTCACTGTTTGTGAAACAGTGACATCACTGTCCGTTCGAGGTCCACAAACCAACACTGTCAGAAGCAGTCCACACGTGTGGCCCACACGTGTGGCCCACACGTGTGGCCTGCAGATTGTCAGTTACCAACGACGCTTCGCCTGTTGATTGCCGCGGTGAGTGACTTCCTGTGTCTTATTTCAAAGGTCATCGCCATCGTGACGGACAGGCTGACAGATGGCGCCATAATGGGAGATCTACACGCCGCTGCCTCCCGGTCGGTGCCGGTCTACGTCATCCTGAACCAGAGGTCTATTCATGAGAACTTCACCCTGAACAGACTCAGACACCCAGTGAGTCATGTCCTCCACACCTCGCCTGGGACGCAGCCAATGTTTGTTTGAATTCAGTCCAAGTGTTGAGTGTTGTTGATGTGAAGACGTAGAGTTTGAGTCACGGTCCGACGGCCGCCCGGTGCCGAGCGGAACTCTCCAGAATCTCCGGTCACTTTATCATGTGACAAAATTTTCTCCGGTCACTTTATCATGTGACAAAAAAATGTTTTAATTTTTGTGGACTTATGTCAGGAATGTGAGCCGTAGTTTTGGCAGCACTCGGCTGAACTGGTTGTGCAGCATTCAGTGGTGTCAGTGGTGGAGCTGGAAAAATGAAGAGCGAGCGACAACACGACCGGGACAAAACCGTTGAATGATTTAATCCGTGGAGATAAACCGTTCAAACCAGACCTGGTTACACTTTCTAAACAGTCCTGGAAATCCATGCCAGGACCTTTCACCTAAAACCAAGTCAGACCTTGTCCTGCCGTAGGCTGCTCCACCAGCACGTCAACCTGGTGTGAGGCTCAGGTTTCATTTGGTCCCCAAAGTAAAAACGTCCGGCTCTACTCTGTTAAACACTGGTTGATGATTAAAAATGTGTTTCAGATCTTTGACCAAACCTCCGTCTGACTCCTCTCTCAACCTTTGTCTTCTGTAGAACATGCGAGTCCGATGTCTCGGAGGGAAATCCTTCTGCTCCAGGACAGGGCGGATGGTTGCCGGGGAGATGAAGGACAGATTCCTG